ATATAGCTTATTCATCAGAATAACACGTAGGCTCTAATTTATAAAGATATTGTGTAACTTGTCCAAAATATCAAGTAAGTAGGAAAAATCTACCATCTGCCAGATCTTCTGGCGTAAGCTGCTAAAACCGCTTGAGTTACGGATATGTAATGTATGATGGAAATGTTTATCATAAATAGTCAATATCTTTAGTAGTTTTTTCCTACGCCACGCTTATATAAGTAAGATGAAGTCGCGGTAACCAGCTAGTAACTATCAACAGAGCAAGCAGCTCTTATGAACTCACCCAGTGTGCAAACAAATAGGTCTACAAATTTTATTTATCTTTTATATAATAACTTATAATATTTTGACGTGTGTTTCATAGTACCTGTTTCAACAAAGCATTGCCAAACAATTGTTATTACCATACACATTGTCAATCTATGTTTTGATAGACTTGCTATTGTTTAAAAATATGCTTATTCAATAATGAACTGTCAATTGTTTTGTAAGAATAATCTTGTGTCTTGTATCGTAAATACAACGCATATCAAGAAAGAATCTCGTAATGCCCCATTGGGCTCTGTCCCAAACGGGAATTATATTCTTAAAATATGATATTTCTGCGTCTATTTCTGTATGGAAGTCAGTAATCAAAATTCTGTGACTCCGAAATAACTATTGTTTTCCCTGGAACAAAATCTAGGATCGACCCGTTACAAGTTACAACATGTGCTTTACCAATGGGTATATAGAATATGTTTAGACGTTTATATTGAAGTTTAGGGAATTGTACTTGGGGCGATTTAAACTTACACATAGTATAGCATAGCAGAGTATACACAATTTTACATATACAATAACAACCTTTGTTTACTGCGTGCTGATCATATCTTCTAATATAATGTTTGAAATGATCATATGTGTCGCAGGTAGTCATGGCGGAACATTTATTTTAATGTTTTGAATACAAATATAGCCTATGTCTATCAGGGATAATGTTGTGTTCCAATGGTCTATATAAATTGTTATAATATATCGATTAAGATATCACAAGGTAACCAATTTATAGTATGTATGTATGTACACATGTGTGTATGTATTTATATTACATAAGCCCTAAATACACGAACAGAACACTTATATATAATAAAGGAAATATTTAATATGGCAATTGGACCTTATTTACGTGATAATCTGCAGACCAAAGGTGCAAGGTCATGATCGTTCAACATTGTAAAATGAAATGTTGCGTATGTTATTGCTAATTTATTCAGAATGGTATCTCGTCACAGGTTTAAAAAATGCGCGGTTTTCTGGTCACAATAAAAAAAATCAGTGCCTCTACACAGAATTATGTTTTGTGATCATTTTTTTTCTGAACAGTAGGTGAACAGCTTGCTGTCACGCATGCCGTCGACTTTAAGGGCTGAGGATTGCGAGTGAAAGCGAGTGTTTTTACCATTGGCTATCAGCCGATACTCAAACCTACGTCCTCCAGTATTTAGTGGCAATCTTAAGCTTATATATGTATTTAGATTAAGACTAGCAAGTGAAAAAGTCAATAATAATTTAATTAAATCCGTTGCGTGATATCGTTTATGATATTTTTCAATATTATTTTTTAATATTATTTAAATTGTCGAAATATCAAATTGAGGAAGTTGAAATGAGCTTCGTAAAGTCACACGCTGTTCACACTATTCCAGCACAATCGTTTAAACCATTGCTTAAAATTGGAGTCATTTCAACTGTATTATAGATAATGCGATCCTTTATTAAAAAAATTAACTGTAAAAATATGAGAAGGTTATTGTACAACTGTCAAAAGATTTTGTTTATTGACTTTCTTCAGGTATAATAATAATAATGAAGCCTTTTATTCAGATCGACTTAGGTACACACATAAACATAGTTCTTGATATTAAACTAGGTATTAGAAGGTTAAAAAACCTTTTCCATTCATGCCTTTCTTGGGCCACATCACTCCTGCCACTTGTCTGATGTCGTCTGCCCATTGTTTTGTGGTCTTCCTCTACTCCTTTTGCCTTCCCTAGGGTACCATCGTGTCACAATTTTACTCCATTTGTCTTTTCCTCTTATCATGTGCCCAGTCCATTGACATTTAAGTCTTCTTTTTGTTCAGGTATTTAAGTTTAAACAAGTCTAAAATTGAGGAATTTTTCATTAATCTGGAAAATATTTAACAATAAGATAGTATTATAAAAAAAATTGTGAACTTTAAAATATCTAAAAAACATTACCATGTGTTAGGAAATAACTATTTGCCTTATTGGCTAGCGTTAAATAAATATAAGAACTAATAAAAATCTTGTATGAATAATTATTCTTCGATTAAAAAGGATTTGCTTTGATTGGTAATTGCTTAGTGATTAGAGGTTGTTCAACTTTTTTCCATATGTGCACAGGTGCTGAACTAACCTGATTACTGATAAGGAATGTTTTATGTGCCTTATAGTCGACATTATGTAATACATATACACTCGGCAATAACTGAATATTTCAAAAATGAATTTATCCGAAAGCTTTTAAGTTATGTCCAAAGTAATACAGAACTATGTTGTCTAATTATTAGTCAATGAATACTTTGAGTTCAGGACGCGACGAGCCATTACCATTCTACCTAACTGCAATAACAATATTGTTATTCGCCTTTAATAAAGTAACTGGGTTATATATTACAGGCGGCAAATATCTTCGTCTGTAAATTAAATAATAATATATATAATTACTAGTTGCCCCCGCGAACTTTGTACATACCAACATGGAACATTTTGCTTACCCCAGACTGTTCGGTTTTCTGGAATAAAAACTTTTAAGGTTATTCTTTGAATTTTTCTCTGTATAAGCCTGTTAAAGCCTTATGTATTTTTGTATGCTGTATCATAAAAAAATAAAAACCAAAACTTTTGTCTAAAAAATAAAAAAGTTTTGGGATGGACACTCCTTATCACTTAGGAGTTTAAAATACAGATAGTAGCTGATTCTCATACTTACTGAATATGCATTAAAAATTTATAAGAATCGGTCTAGCCGTTTCAGAGGAGTATGGGAACGAACATTGTGACACGAGAATTTTATTTATTAGATTTAAATGGCGACTATTAAACACGACTTGCTTTAAGCTTTAGATTATCATTGATATCTTTTAATATTTATGTATTTCTTCTCTTCGTATTTGTTATGTTTTCAGTGCTGGTCATATTAAATCTTGTACGTATTTTGTTTTTCTTGAGTGCCAATGTATCAGTGTGTCGGGCGTTGGCAAGCTTTAATGGTATCTTGAATTGTATCGCAATGAATGTAATAAAACATTACATTCGCAACTAATGCGTTGCTAACACAGATACTTAATTCAATCTCGATCTCAATTAAATCATTAATGTCCATAGTTGCACACCTTGAAACCAATTTTCCTTTAGTTATTGAAATTAATTTATGATATTTGCAGTGCTGGTCACATTAAATCTAGTATTTTTTTTCTTTATGTAGGTACCAATGTATCAGTGTGCCAAGCGTTGACAGGCTTTTGTAAATAAATAAATGTACATTAAGTATCGCAATACAGTGTGGAAAAGCTGCCAGCATTAAAGGTATACAGGGAACAAACTTTTTAAATTTATTTGAGTTTTTTTATCCAGTTTTAATGATGAGGTTGAAATAATTAGTATTTTGTCGTATAGTTTTTAGACTTTTGGATGATGTGGTAATTTACGTTATCAAAAAAATACTTGTTGTTAAAATTTAAATGTATATTTTTTTATTGATTAGTTGCATAATATATTATGTCTATGTGAACTTCGTAGTTAGCGGTGAGTTTGCTATGTTAGCCGGAACTCCTTGAGTGAAAATAAATGTTGGTATTTAAAGTAAGTGCTAATGGTGTAACTGCATGTGTGAATTACAATATCACGAATAACTCGTTTACAGTATTAATTTTGTATTATGATTGAAGTGTAAAAGTGTCTCTAAATACGGTGAAAATTTAGAAAGCAGTTTTGTAGTAAAATGATTCATGACTGGGTCATTGCGAATGCTGTGTGTATTGTGTTGCTCAGCTGTAACTTAGAGTTTATGGAAGCATAATGCGTGAAACTGCGGTGTCTCCAATAAACAAAAAGTTGGTCTTTTGTTAAATAACTTGAATTTATACTAGCTTTACTCTTTTTTTCTTTTTAAAAGAAAGAGAATAAATAGTATAAAGATATGTTATTTTTTGGAAGTTGGTGCCGATATCGTAAGATAATCCTTCTGCTTTCGATTGGTCATCAATAATTATTATGTAGATCAGTGTTTCCTAATCTATTTTGTGCCACACCTTAGCCTACCTAAAATTATTTTTAATTATATTATATATTTATATATCAAAAAACTGAATTGTTCATTTAAGAAATTTAAATGATAGGTTTTAGGAAGAAATCACTAGGAAATTGTCAACGATACAAGAAGTAGATTTTCAAAACACAATAAAAAACTGTACTTCAAATAATTTTAATAAATCTCTCTTTATTTTGTGAAATCGTTGCACTTTATGCTTGCTGCACAGAGATTTTATATTAGGTTCCAATTTGGTTAGCTCCAGTCTGTCTCCACGTTGTGTGGGCGTGGGCCCCACGTTGGGAAAAACTGATGTAGATGGTTGTAGACATACGAATCTTATGACACCGCGATCATTCAGATCGGAAAACAAACTGCAGAGCTCTCGTTGAAATTACACGTAAAATTAATAAATGTCGGTCTTTTTTGAAGTATCAACACATTCTGATAACTCTTTTCCCCTTTACCATAATTATAAAATTTTACTCCGCCACCCGGTGGCAGATTACCAAACTTTCTGAATGCCACGCTTAATAGAGATAAATGACACAAAACAAATATACTAAAGATTTTCATCTCCGTTGTTTCAGATGCCAGTACCTTGACAATAATCGCACAAGCGATATCAATTATACAAGACTGATTTTAAGTAGACATTCCTATATGATGCAATAGACAAGATGTTCAAGCTCTTGGGAGGACTTAGCGTGTACTTCAGGTACCAGCCTGTTCAGACCGACAATGCAGTGTTCAGGCTGCACAATATTTTTACCACAGTGCTGTTGCTTACATGCTCTGTTATAATCACGGCGACGCAGTATGTGGGACAGCCGATACACTGTATAACGGGGGCAGGGCTGCCGAACCATGTGGTCAACACGTTCTGTTGGATCACGTCAACGTTTACGATGCCCGATGCGTTTGCTCGAGAGGTGAGTTTTCATTGCTTTTGTATCCTTTATTGGAAAAGTTCAGAGAGAAATAGTGTAACGGATTGAATATGTTCAAGATTTGAATAAGTCTGTGTTTTTATTTATACTATTCATGCAGGAATTTTGGAAAGGATTAAGTTCTGAATTTACAATGGAAATCGCCTATTGAATTCATATCACGCCGGTGTCATCTCGTAAGATTAAATTAATCTACTTGCAGGTAGAAAGTTAAGTTCCTTGTCTTCATCTTTTGATTGGTAAATGATTATAAGAAAACTACGACTTGTAGAAAATGCTTCAGTAAAACCCTACTTAGTTTGCTTAGTAATTACTAGGAAGTCGTGCACGTAAATCGGCTACTGCAAACCCGTAAGACAAATAGGGAATCAGCCGAATCGCTTAGTAGAATATCTATTTTGCTACCTGTCTTAAAATTATGAAAAAATTGTATAAAGCAGTACTGTATAGAGAAATTAGATATTACTGCGTAGTTGGGAGTTGCGTAGTTTCAGGTTTTGCTTTCTACGTACGTGCGCGAACACCCAATTTACCCCTTTTGCGCATGTTACCTGCTAGACAAATTTTGTGTATCCACCAGTGGATTACATATTTTCCAAGTATAGGCTGTGTTTATGCCGCCTTTGCCTCTACAATTGTCATGTCCCAGTTTATTTTTACAATCTAACAATTTCGTTGAAGTTGCACGAAAAATAATTTTTGTATCTAATTTTTGACCACATTTATACATAAACCATTCAGTTCGCAGCCTCCAACCATTGGTAGGACTGACATGTATGGGTTGATAGGGGTAGAGGGAAATACATTTTCTGCGATTTAGTTCTTTTCATTCATACAATATGTCAGATGAGGGCGCAGAATTCGATTACTGTTTGGGGGGCGGCGAACTAGCTGTTTACTTTAGAATATTGAAGAATGTACAAAGTTAAGAGGGGAATGTTATCGGAAAATTTTTTTGCTGACTGTAAAACATTAGAAAACCATCAGTCAGAAATCTTTTTTGATTTGTAATAGGTAGCAAAAAAAAATCGGTTCCCAAATTTTAAATCCGCCACTGGTATCCACATCATCTTACGTTTTTACTACGTAGTCTTGTCTCGTGGGACGTTACGCTTCATTCATACCTGTTATTACAATTGTGTTGTATGATGTCATTTACTTAATATGGAGTCATGTGTGACACAATAAATAGCGGTGTTGTGGTATAAAGCATATATGTATCGTAGTAAAAATTCGAAGCGACTTATGGAATTTTATCAAAAATTGGCCAATTTTTAATATTAATAATTAAGCCTCATTTATCCCTTGAAACTTTCATTTATCTTTATAAGAGGTACAAACACTTAAAATGATATACAGAAATATTTTTTTTGCAAGGACCTCTTATAGAGTATTGGCAACTCCATCTCTCTCTATCTTGAGTATTTTTTCTCCAAACCTTCTTTAAGCTTTTTATAATTATTAATAAGTAAAGGCGTCTATTGTGTGGAGCTTTGTTACGTTTTTTAACTCTATTCATATATTCAAGTACACTTATGAACGTCAACAGAAAATATGTTAAATTGATTCTAAATTTACATTTACTGCCAGTTCGCAAGTCAAGTGCGTAGAGCGGGCAAGAAGAACTGGCAATAAATTCTCCGCCACTCTTTTTAATCGCTAAGTTTTCAGTCACACAAACTATTTGTTAGGCATAGCAGCAGTATTTGAACTTTAGAAAATCAATCCCAAAGATTAGGATCATATAAATAGTCAAATTTAGAAAAAGCTTTATTGGTTAAATTACGTTGAAAGAGAGTTAAATTTATTCAGTGATAATTCTGTGTGTAAATCTATTCAGTATTAGATAGCCCAAAATCATCATTAAAAACGGAGGGCTTTTTGTTTCTATTTTTATAGTGAATACTCTAATATATATTAGTTAGGTGTAAGAATGTTTACATAAAGTTCTTCAGGCTAGTGTGCAATAGAAAAAATCATTTATTAAGATTTTGTCACAGCACTTAGCAAAGACTGGCATCACGCCAACGGCCCATTTTAGCCGAGTTTCGTGTCTTTGTTGTCATTGTCGATTGTTTCGTGACATGCTGATACATCTTGTTGCTTTTCACATCTGTTTCTTATTAATCTCGACTTGCATCTAGAATCTCATCTCTATTAGACGAAGAAAAAGACAAAGTTAGTGAAATATAATGAGGTCTTATTTGGAATTCCCGGAAATAATAGGAATAAAATCCAAAATGAATGTTCGGGTTCGGAGCTTCGAATCTATTGTATTTGTCTTATACACGTGAAAACTTTCTAAGTAACACAGCTTTTTATTTTTTAGTATAGGATTTTTTTGTGTACATTTTACTTCATTAATATGTATTTAGTTTTAATATGTAAAAAATATATATGTACTTCAAAACTTAAGTTGAATTGTTATTCAAATTCAACGCTATAAATCGAAATCGCGCTTCTGTAAGTCGAAATTTCAGCAGTTAAATTATATGTATCTCGAAGATCTCGTTAAGTCAAAAACTCGTTAACTCCATTTCCCCTGGCATTCGAATTATAGAGATTCCACTGTAATAAATAATACAAGCTAAAGCAAAATATTACTTATTCATATGGGTGACATATTGTGTTCATGTGTTTAATTATTAATGTCGTAAATAAATTAGATTTAAAGTTCTCAAATTAAGGGCGCAGAACGGATGAAAAGAACTTGCAATAAATTCTGTGTCCCATTTTTAATCGCCAAGTTTTTATTTTTAAATTGAATGGAGCTGCAACTATTACACCATATTTCTATCTTATAATTTCATATTCATATTTATTGGCTTTTATCATTACTCATTAATAAATAAATCATCTTAATAAGCACCACATAAATTCAATAGCGATTTGAAGTTTGGTACAACGTATTCTGCGAAAAAAAAAAGGGTTTTATCGTTTGATAATCGTCAATGCCAGGTTAACTCATTATTATGTCAATAATTAAGATCGCAATCGTAGTTGGTCATTCGGTACTACTTTTAGCGACCTAACATCATTATGTCTAAGATTTTGTCATTGCACAAGCCAAGGCTGTATTTGTCGTAATCTTAGCGACTGACGAAATCGTTGGTGTTACTACCCGTCAGCAAACTCAAGCATTTTGTCCTTTGTAAATCGATAAAAAATATTTTACAGGTTACATATTTAAAAATCTCTTTATAATATTATTGAAGTTATACTTCTTTTGGTGCGTTAGGGAAAAAATATGAGAGTAATTTTTTACGATGCGCGCGCACACCGTCACGCGTGTACATAAGTACACACACGTTTTTTTTAAATTAAAGCACACCACATGACATATAATTTTCTTTTGTTACATTATATTGTACTAAAATATAGGATAATTCTTTAACGGAGACATCCTCTCTAGCTCACCGCGGATAAAGCACTCGAAACATTTTACATAGTTTAACTTATAACTTGTTTTGCCGTTTCCATCGTTGGGAATGTTAACTTAATTGAGCAAAATTACATAGACTACACTTAGTCTTGATACATATGCAGTTACATATTGCAGTGCAGCAATGCGTTATAGAGTCAAAATCTGTTATAACGACATCTAAGGGACTACTCATATTTGGTCGTAAAAACCGATGACGTTGTTATTTAGTCCTAGTACAATAGAATTCAGCCGGGACCTTTGCTTTTGGTAAATATAACCGGTATGTTGTTCTAAACGATGTCTTCGTAAACGGTTTTGACTGTATAATGTTCTTGATATCACTGAATCAGTACCAATCAAACGGTCAACAGGTCAAATGAAGAGTCTTGGTCCATTACTGCTAATTTCTGCTTTCAATTGCACGCCTCCGCGATGAAATTGATTATTAATGTCCTACATAGCATGCTAAAGTTAATTAATGCTAATGACAAGTATTTGTTGTAGGTACTTATAGCTACTGTACTGGAAAAGTACTAGTATTATATATAAATATATATATTTATATTTGTCTTACAACCGTAATCATACTATTCACAGTGAATTAAGCTATTTAGTAAAGATTTATTTTATTAAATAATTTCCCCGTGGATGTAAATACAGTTTTTTTACAGATTAGTGTCGCACCCTTTAAATGTACAATTATAATTATTATTCTATAATACGAGAACATAAACAAATTTATATAATATAAATTTGAAATACTTAGCTTATAAAGGAATGTTGTCACATGAGGCAAAATCTAGAATGTTATCATTGTGTATCGGAATCCGTATTATTTCTAGTTTTAATATATCAGGCGACGAAGTTAGTTTGAGATTTAAATTTTGTTTTATATTCTATGAACATCAGAAATTATGATGAAATATTATTCCCTAGGCATAAACTTCTACACACTCTCTACACTTAATACTTAATAATATAATCCTATATAATAATAAAGCCCGTTTATTTCTTTACAAATGTTAACAATATACATTTGATTTTTTCTTGTTACTCTATTTCCTAACTTCCTTCAGTACCATTGATCGGAACTATCTGTAAAGGCATCCTCCAGCTTTTTCCAAATTTGTCTACCCATAACTTTTTTTCAATTTTTTCTGGTAACACTTCCATATCTCCTACTATCCACCTTTTTCTAGGGCGCCTTCTTCTCCTTCCACATGTCTTTAAAGTTCATATTTTATCTGCGCATCTTGCAATATGCCGCGCATTGACACTTTTGCTTAGGGTATAATGAAAGACGTCTATAACTATTGCTTTACGTCTTATTTTTGCTATCCTTAAATATACTATATATGTTATATTGTAAAAGTAATCTTGCAGTTAAATCTGTGAACCAATTGGATGATCATGAAATCAGCGCCCAGTGATCATGTACTCGCAATTGTGTAACTGCCCGCTTCCTCGCTATTGCAAATCTCAATCAAACTTGAATCGCTTTTAACAATTGATGAATTCTGATTGCGTCTTTGTGTTAATCCAAATTGGACATCAATTGAGTAAAGAATTTTATTCAAAGTTCTTTATCCACTTGCTGTAAAGCAGAAGAGTTTCTTGGGTTGAAGAGCTTCAACTGAGCTCTCTGGCAAAACTGTTTAGGCAATGGGTGTTGATTTTGATTTACCGACTGCAAAATTATATAAATTTTATCTTGTGGGGCCATTCCGGGGGGAGATGTCTTTGAACGGCCCCTGTGAAGGGATTTATGCCTAAACGTTAATTTTGCTATAAATACGGTTATTATATGTTGGAATGCTTTAAAGTATGTCACTATGCAAGCGACTCTAATTATCCCACATGCATGTTGTGCTAAAACACATCCATCGAGTACGTTAATAGTTGACAGTTGAATGCACTGATATGAGTTATTACGAATATATACTTCATTTATCAGGTCAGGGCTGTCCAGGTAATAAGCACGTACATAACTCATAAACTGCTTTTACGAGTGTTACTATGTTATGATAATATGTTATCAAATGAAGGTTCATAAAGTCCTTTGGGTAAGATTTACCGAATATTATTTCAAAATCTAAATGTTATTTATCATAAGTCAATGTTTGCGACAGACTTATGATAAATAACATTTAATAACTTAATTTGGTCTCAAATTTTTAACGTTTAAAGAAATTGATCCATGATTATTTTTCCTATTGCTTAAACAATATAAACCAAAACAGAGGACAAAAACGCAAAAAATTTCCTGAAGGGTTGTTTGAGTAGAAAGATTCTTTGATGAGTTTTACGGATTGAAACTTGAGACCTGTTGATCAATAAATATCACACAAAACACGCCATTGTCTCATTTACTACCCAGTGCTGTGTAAAAAGCTATCAAAATGGAGATTTTTGTACCACGTGACCTCGAGTTTGCGATACGTGACTACATTGATATAGTCAAATCTAATCTGTGCGCTAAAAATATTCATTATTTATTTTTTCAACATTGGTGTTTTGTTTTTGCTCACAGGTGGGAAAGGAGGTGGCACACCCGGGTGTATTGAATGAATATGACAGCTCGCAGGACAAGAAGTACTATACCTACTACCAGTGGGTTTGCTTCGTGCTGTTCTTCCAGGTATGCATTTGTAATACTGTATAAATATTATTTAGTTTAGCTAATAGTGGATCTTTGAGCATTAATCACCCGAGTCGGCTTACCTTCCCCGGCTACTTTATCAACAGGGACATTGAGTAGCTAGCATTCTTTGTTATTACATTCCTCCTCACTTTAAAAGACAATAATTTCTATATTAGTTAGGGATTTAGTTTCTAGATAATTATTACATTATTTTGTTATATATTGGCATCGATGTATTTTGAGATTTTTGTTTTATAGTTAAAGTTTTATTTTACAATTATGTTACAGTTACTTATCAGTTTATTGTTGAGTTCAATTTACATTTTCTATTATCGTTTCTTCTCTTGTTTCCTCTGAGAGCAATTTACGGTTTTCTTCAACAGATTTTAAAATTTAAATACCAACAAAGCGCAAACGAAATTAAACTTTTTTCTTTCACTCAGATGTCTGTATCTGTTTCCTAGATCATTTATCTAGGGGAATATATCTAATTAAAAAATTAATTGCGCAAATAAAAAATAAAATTGTTTCATAGTCGGGCAGTATAGACGCTGGTCAATAAAAAATATATAAAATCTGAAAACAAAAGACAAACAACTAACGAATTCGATAAAGGTCACTAGGTAAATAACACAACTAAACCAAACAATAGAACAGTTTACGCGTCATACAATTAGCATCTGCCATCTACGGCTGATCAGCTGTAAGTCTACCGTTATTGAAACTGACCTGAAATTTGCCGTGATGCGGTCATTGGCACACTTGTGGTCAAACAATGTACAGATATGGAAATTTAGTTTTAAATACATTCACTACGTAATCTAAAACGTATAAGTCTTCGTTGAAACCGCTGAATACTAGTGTTGCCCAAAATCGGTCTTGGTCTTGTTCTTGCGTTTTCGCAAGACCAATACCAATACCAATACCGCCTTATTGTAGCAATACCAAGACCAAGACTGAAGCATGCAAGACTTGAGCAAGACAATACTAAAGCCTGCAAGACTCTTGCGTCTTGCAGTTAAGACAAACTGAGATTTGGGCGTTATTAAGTAGGTATTTGGTTTCAATCCCGATTTTGAGATACGTTCCCCAGTATTAAAACCGTTGGTATCGTCATAATAAACGTGCCGCTCGTCTGAAAGAACACTGAAAGGTATTGTATTGATTAGGTAGGGAAGTACTTATTATATTTCAACAATTTATTAAGTAGGTAGCGTGTTAATATGTACTCACAAATCTGTTACCATCATCCCATGTGATAAAATTTACCCAGAATAACTTTCTAGCAAAGATCATACCTTATAGGTATCAACTACCCTATAATAATATATTATGCTTGTTTATGTCTAATGTTTAGATCTAACGTTACTACTCGTAGGTTGGTATGTGCTTAATATTATAGCCAACAAAATTATATAAACATTATTTTGGTACCTACTTATGTTTCAAAGTTTATATTATTCTTCTATTTAGCAAAATTTAAAACTAACTGCGAGTCGAGTAGGTCTAGTAACAGTTTCTACGGCAGCCAATATTATGGTACAGACGCCAGCACATCAAGCTACTACAATCTGTCAAATTTCTTTAACAGATTTTCAACTTTATCGCTAAAGAATTAAGGTTCAAGGTTGATTGGGAAAATGTGACGTCCTGCGAATAAACTGTTGGTCGGTCGGTGTATTATATACCTACTTATTTGATAATTTACCGACAATGAGGCCGCGGTTTGCAAAGAGTGTATCACAGCATTTGACACTGTTGAGCGCCGCATTCGCCGACAAAGAGTCCGGACAGAGACACAAAATTGTTACCTATTTTGGTAGGGTTGGTACAGGAGGATAAAATTAAATGACCTTGAAGATGTCTCAGCAGTAGGTAGGTAAAAATTGAATGCTCTGAGTTTCTTGTATTTAAATACATTCTCACAGTGGCTCGAATTCGAACACTACAGCGTTTAAAGCTGTCGGGCGAGATGATAATTAATAACTAAGTAGGTATTGCATCTATTGAATTGCGAATATTTTGATTTTGAAATAATCATTGTTAATATCGGTAAATGATAGATAGTGAGTGATATACCTAGGTACTAAAATGTAAGCAGCATAATTGAAAAGTGTTTATGCCATGTCACTGACATGTTTCCATAAGTTTATTTAAAAAAAAAGCTCTCAAGTAAGATTTAGAGTTTACCATTCAATTACACACAACAAATTATTGAAAAATATATTTAGACGGAGTAATTAGTAGAAAAAATATTCTATCGTGGATACCTAGTTATTAAAAAGTTGATAAACGTTGTGTTTACTTAATTTTATTTTTCTGTGCTAATGCAAACATTGACAACCCTACCAAAATAGGTAAAAATTTAGTCCGATCCTAACCTTTGTATCCCCGCCGTCGCTTTCATGTCAAAGGTCGCCGCCACTGCCCATCACACACTTCCAAAAATCGAGATTTGCAGTGTCGATTTATCAACTTCTATCGTACCTACTCTAGTAGCGACTTTTGTCTTCAGCGATGATTTACTAAATAAATAAAAATAATCGTCGTTATTTTTCTAAGGAATACAATTTTGTTGAAGTAGGTACCTACATCGTTTCTCACTTACACATACTTTAACGACTGTACCTACGTAGCAAAGCGCGCCAGTCACGAGTAACGACAAATTGCCTAAAAAATGTACCTACGCACACTGTAATGAAATCTGCTATTCTCAACACACACACATTTCCTTATTTTGGCCGCATAGGTAGCATAGGATAGCCCGCCAAACTCAATTTTTTTTTTGCAATTTGCAGGCTAGTGCTAGATTGTTGATTAAAATATTATTCACGCTGTAAGACGTATGTAGTTACAGAGTCAACTCTACATACTCAAAATCTAAACTAACGTGTTCAATAAATAGCAATAGGCTAATAGGTATTTGCAAGTCTTGCGAGACTCTTGCTGCAAGACCAAGACCAAGACTGAGAGCGCAATACCAAGACCAAGATCAGGTGTATTGACGCGAGACCAATACCAAGACTGGCCTAAGTCTCGTCTTGGTCTTGCATTTGGGCAACACTACTGAATATATCTTCAATGATTTTAGCATGGTTACATGATTTTTTGTTTATTTATTTTATATTTTTATAGTAACTTAAACTAATACAGTAGAAAACTTATCAATATAACAATTAAATTAAACAAGAAAACCTAAACCTTTTTATAACTAATTATAAATAATGCAATTCTTGTGAATTCAGCAACTAAATATTTCCGTCTCACATGCAATACGATTCACGTTTGATTTGAATTGGATATATTTCATATGTTTCATTGATACGTGTAATTTACAAAGCAGTATTAGATGCATATATCAACCTAAGTCGTGCGTTCGATTCCGGCTCTACACAATTTTCTTTTATTTTTAACACTTGCTCCTAGGGCGAAGAAAAATATTGTTAGGAACTTCTATTGGATAATGATAGATGTGATGCTGAGACCAGGGGTTGTTTGTGTTCTTTGACACACTGACCTTGACAAGGTAGAGTTTATCAAATGTTATCTCCAGTTGAAATTATTTAGTAATCACATGGGTAAATATCAGAAAGCTATATCTAATATATAAAATTCTCGTGTCACTCCTCCGAAACGGCTCGACCGATTATTATCAAAATTTTTGTGCATATTCAGTTAGTCTGAGAATCGGCTACTATCTTTCAAACCCCTAAGAGATAAGGGGTGTCCACCCGAAAATTTTATTTTTATTTTTTAGGATTTTATTTGTTTTTATTTTTTTATTATACAGCATACAAAAATACATAAAACCCCTAATTTTCACCCCTCTACGATCAACCCCTATTTTTTTATTATTGTAGATATGTAGTTATTTTTATTGAACCTAACAAATGTTTCCTAGAAATAATATACATGGCAAAACAAACGTTTGCCGGGTCAGCTAGTATATATTATAAGTAAAATTTGTATTGAATTTTGCCATGCGTTATCCATTACAGACATCTTATGACCCAATTCATTTAAATTGTCCGTCAGCCTAAATGAAATAAATACGTTTTTTTTCTATTGGTACGTACGGTAAAAGGATGTTTCTGACATATAGAATGACATAGTTCGTTATAAATGGACAAAGCATGCTAACATGTGAATCATTTTCATATAATAAGAATGTTTATTACGGATCTCACGGGTCAAGTACTGAAGTCAATTAAAATATGTCAAGTGATAACTTAAATGAATGATTGTCCATTGATTATTAGAAGAAGGTTTACATTAGCTCACACAAGACTGCTCACATAAGAAAATATAAAAATACATCAGTGGCGCTACAACCTTTTTAGGTCTGGGCCTCCGATTTCTGTATCTGTTTCATGATAGTTTGTTAATCTAATAGGCAAGTAGGTGAACAGCCTTCTGTGCCTGACGCAAGGCAAGGCGATTTCCTCCCGATATTTTCTTTCACCGTTTGAGCGAATGTTAAATGCGCACAGTAAGAAAGTCCATTGATGCACAGCCGGGGATCGAACCTCCGACCTCAGGGATGAGAGTTGCACGATGAATCCACTTGGCCAACACATAAGAAAAGTTTTAGTAAATTAATTTGGTGTCTAGTAAAAGTAAACTTAATGAATGAATAACATAGATAATAGATATACTTTTTTTTAAATTTATTAATGTCCACGGTTCTTGTGGTGCGGAACCTTATTTTAGACACATATTATGTAAATAAATTTCCTTATATATATATATATATATGTATATCTATTCCTATTCCTATATATTCATAGGCGTATGGGGACCTGCCGTCTTGTGAGTCCCACTCCTACGCTTTTTTACTTTTGCGCTCCTTGTTGGAGGTTTTTTTTAAAGGAATTTATTAAACTCTAAATGAAATATGCACTTTCCAGGCGATAATGTGTTACACGCCCAAGTACCTGTGGGATGCCTTCGAAGGTGGCCTTTTGCGCACTATTATTATGGGCCTCAATATAGGAGTCTGTCACGTGGAAGAGAAAGACAAGAAGAAGGACGTCATTATTGGCTACCTCATCAGGCACGAAAGGGTGAGTTAAGATTATTTTTTCTTTTTTTGTGTTACGATGTTGGATTTTATTAATTTATATACAGTCAAATTCTATTGTATTAGATTTTATTAATTATCAAGAAGTTCTATTGTATTTGGTACTTAATAACAACGTCATCGGCTGTTACGACTATCGGTTTTTACGACGAAATATGAGTATTCCCTTCGATGTCGTTATAACAGATTTTGACTGTATTAATTATACCTAAAAGTGTATAACTCGCGAACTAAAAGAAGTTCTTTAAGTAGCGCGTATAAAAAAGCCATCACAGTATTAACACTGTCCGCCATTATGATTTAAAAAGCCTTAAAAACTAGTCTCTCGACTCCTTTCACCAAGAGTCGGCGTGTATGGAATAATAACACCTATGGGAATGGAAGCCGTGCCTTGGTTTATAACTACGAGTACATTCTTACCTATGCGTGGCGCATTGCAATGTCCGGATACGTCATTAGAGTGACATCGAAGTACCATTTTGTTATACAAGCTTGACTTGTATCAGCTATGTGAACACTTACGTGATTTAGCGGTGAGAGAATGTCACCCATTCGATTCCTGGAGAACTTTTTTTTTTGGGTTTCAATAAAACCGACGTTGCCCTTTGAATAAAGCTTCGATACCAATCATTTCTTTGCATTCTTAGAAAATTTATATTTAAATATCTCTACTATATGCTGCCAAAATAAAGAAACTATTATTAAACTTTCATATTTGTTGATTATTCTTCTAAATATTGGCCTAATTGCAGTTTAGTGTTTATGAGACAGTATTAATATTACTAAAACTTGAATTATCTTCACTTGACTGGTTTTAGTGAAATCAAGGGAAAGTCTTATATTCCTTACGAAATGAGTCGTGACTGCGCGTACGCCTCTGGGCCCGAAGTTTTTGCTTGGGCCGTTGACCCATGACGCAACTAGAGATGTTGTATCATTGTATTAAATATTGCGTAAGACTTGGATAGATCAAAGAGAAATCAAGGGATTTTTTTGTAACTAGCTATAACCTTTTTGGTATGTGAAGGATGTGGGCTGTATCACATTACCTAAAGTCCTCTACTCTGTTCTTTGCTACTGTGAGAGCTATGTGACCACTTAAGCTGACAGCAAGCCTCCAGTGCCACCAGTAGATGGTTAAAACTACCGTTCGACTTTGCAAATCGTTAATTGAGAGAGTGATGTAAAGGAAGGTTTTTGTTTATATGGAACAAGTTATGAACAGGAGAATCATCTGATGCTAAGTGATACACTATGGACACTTATAGTGTCTCAGAATACTCGCGAGTGCGTGGTCGGCCTTCTAAGAGTTGGTACGCCTTTTTTTTGTTGAAGGACCCTAATTCGAATTGGTTTGTGCACATAGTGGTGGTGCGCGGCCAAACGTAGTTTATACGTAGGTATATAGTTATTAACTTTTTGGTTTCCACTTTTAAATCGCGCCCCTGAAAGATTTTCTACATGTTACGCTCTTTGCGTTATAACCTCTCAAACTTGTTGGCTTTTCCCAGTTTATTGATTCCATTATGAACAGGTGGTAATGACTCAGTTTTATTTCCCTATTCACTTGAAGGTTATCAAAGGTTACATAAAAATAATTAGTGCAATGCCTTTCAATGCCTAGGCTGTATTCATTGAATTCTAAGTAGATTTCACTCATAGAATTAGTATATATGTGTACCTGTCTGGCCTCAGATTTTTGTATCGTGACAGGACAGACGCCGTCGACTTTTTGGGTCTAAGGCAAGACGGTTTCCTCACGATGGATCACCTTCACCGTTCGAGCTAATGTTAAATGCGCAAATAAGAAAGAAAGTCCATTGGTCCAAAGCCGGGGATCGAACCTACGATCTCAGGGATAATAAAAATAACTTTTTTTTTTTAAATCCCCGAGTAGAAGATAGATAGTCTCACGCTGAAGCCAACTAGGCCAACACTACTCTATGTACTAACAAGTATTTTTTTAGTCCAATAAATCTGTCATATCAAAAAAAATATTATTACGAAGGTAAGTACTTGGTCGAATTTGGGCGTACAACGCCAGGCTTTAAAGAAAATAGTGCCTTAATAGTCGATTTTTCACGGAACAAATGGGAATTACCTTAAAACAAACCATAATAGTTTTTAAACGTAATATAGCATCATTTAGATTACATTATTCTGTAAAATAAATAAAAAGAAAAAAAAAGTGTAGAAACAGTCCACACTACTAGTCGAGTTTTGGACTAATGTAGATCTGTATTCCTAATGCTAGTTACTTTCAGTTGACAGATGAATATGACCTCAAGGAATGCATTTTTATTTATTATAATAGGCTTCATTCACCTATCCTTAAACTCAACATGTGACCTATTATCCGGCTACTCGTGCGTGACAAGCAAGTGCTTCATTCATCTCCATTCAGTACCTAGTTTCCCACGCTTGGCCACAATGCTTTGACGTTTTTGATGTGATTTTAATAGTTATACCGTTAGCTTTATATATCCTGATAAGTTTATAACCGCTATTTGTTTATCTTATTTATTTTAATGACAGGACGATACTTTCAGACGGTCTTTTGTTTTATCAATGGTGTTTGCTTATCTTCCTATAAATGGAATTCGATTTTCAAATTTTGACAAGTTCATATTTGTGTAGTCTGGAATCTTTTAATGACAGGGCGATACTTTCAGACTGTTTTTTGTTTTATCAAGTAATTTGCTAAACGTTCTCTAAACGGAATTCGATTTTCAAATTTTTACAGTATTTTGACAAGTTCATATTTATGTAGTCTACAACTTTGCTTTTATCTATGTACCTATATACACGTTCATATTACATATTGCTAATATTCTATTTAAATAACGTTGACCTCAATTTAAGCCCTTGATATTTGCCTAAAGTACTAAAGAAGACGCAGGATAGAAGTTGTTAATTTTAAACGTTCCAACTCGGAAGTCTTCATTTAAACCAACCGCAAACTGGATCGAACCAGTAAATAACAAGTTAACTAGTTCAATAGTTCTTTAGTTTAAGTGTTTTCATATGTAGGCAAGTTTTTTTATTAATAATACAAAATATAATATATTACAATTATTTTATCGTTCCTGTCTAAGCATACATGCTTTTAGAAAGATGGTTGAATTGGCGTAAAAAAATGGGCTTTAAATTAACCACTGAGATTATTAATAATTTGGATAAAGATGAAAACAACTTGTTTAAGAATACACCTAATTTTATAACAAAGCATGCTATAAACAAACATAAGTTTTTAAATTTTTTGTTCGAACAAACTTATTGTTATTATTGTTTAAGCTTTTAATTCAGGCGATCATAGATCTTTTATTTAATTGGACTTTAGCTTAATGCTTAACTGTCGGGCCTGTCCATTTGAGTCAGACCTACGCAGTTCAGTTAACGGTACATTGGTGACTGACGAGTCAATGTACTGAACAAGATTTTGATCCACGTTATTAATCTGTTTTTTGTTGATATTTCGGTTATATTAACTGTCTTGTGTCAGTTATAATTGTGGCTTAATAAATAATTAAGTATTTGTGATGCACTTATATGGAAATAGTAATGAATTCGATAATGCTATGTTACATTAAAATACACAGTAACTTTGATAACCTCTTGAAGAACTTAGAAACGTTGTATTTATAAAATAAATGTAATGAAAATACATCTAATAATAAATGTCTCCTGGAGCCCATATTCTCCCCCCACCCCACACAAGTTTGAAGGTGCGGTTCGAACAGAGATTACCCCAGGGTACCTTACGTTTCCGCTGTGAAGAATCTCCATTTGGGCGCCCATCATCGCATTTAGTGGTGGACGCACAGGCTGCCCTTCGTATTCGGGAGTCAAAACTGAAAAGAGCGTACCAATTATTAAACCGCCGGCCGGCAACGCACTCGCGAGCCCTCTGGCATTGAGAGTGTTAATGGGTGGCGGTATCACTTAACATCAGATGAGCCTCCTGCCCGTGTTTGCCTGTTCTATAAAAAAATGATAGATTAACAATAGCTCGATCGTGAGGTTGATTACTATTTTCGTTACATCGATAAATACAATTTTTAATAAGATATAATCTTTTTAATATTCAGTGACGAATCTTACTTCCCCATTCAAAAAACGTATTTTCTTACGGGAGTCAAGGTCGCGCTTATACTGGACTCTGAAACCTTACCCTTGTAGTAATAAAAAAAATTATACACAAAGTATATTTCATACACATTCGCAGTTTCGAAGTTGTGATTTGTTTTCTGTAACCTATTTTCTTTTGTTTTAATCAAAATAAAATAAATTTATTTCACCAACTCACGTGATCTTATCCCACGTGCACGAATCCGTAGAGATTTTAAACTATTTGACCATAACTCGTCTGAGTTGTAAGATTTCCTATAACAAATAAGTACCTATTTGTAAGAATTTGTTTACACACATGTGATTCTAATAAACGTCTTTGCCAGATGTTTCTGATGATCGGGGTCACAATAAACTGCTAATATGAACAAAAATTATACAGAAATAATAAAAATAAAATATTCTGGGTAAATTTGTCGAATCGCGGCTCCACCTTAAAAACTGCTCCAATTTATTTTCTACAAAATTTCATCATTCGGCAATGGTGTGCCATGCAATAATGTGGTGGCGTATGCTCTTTAACCTAACCTAATCTAATTCACTGGGTCCCACTGGGAAGTAAGACAAGATCATGCATATAATATTATCAGTTTTTTAGATTATTAAGGGGTCCAATGCGCCTCCTTAATATTACTTGGGGTACTCTACATACAAGTCGTAAAGAACGATAGGAAACAATTTGGAGCTGTTTTAACGTGGAGCCGGTGTTCGACAAATTTACCATATTCTGAATTAAAAACTAAATTGTAATTATATAAAACAGCCCAAAGGTTTCATGAAAAAAGGGAATAACTTCGTAACAAATATTTTAGCCCTGTTAAAAAGTTTGTCTATTTACCGATGGTCCGCAATAAT